TTTATTTAAACTTTTCAGAAAACATTACTTTTGAGTGTCCTTCTTTTAACTTGATTGTGTATTTTTCCACTTTATTCAAAGCGTACGTATTATAAAAAAATTTTAAAAATAAAAAATTTTCTCAGTACTAATATTTCCTCTCTCTATATATATATGTCAGATTTTGAATTTAATATGGATAACTTATAGTGATCATTTTGTCCAAATGTAAAATGCCCAAATAAAAAGTTTAATTTCAGCCATTTTGGTAAAAAACACAAATTTAATAGCAGTTTTTAGTAAAACTTACTGGGGTATGAATACTTTGTATTTCTTGTTTCAAATATTTATCAAAAGTTCTTGCGTAAACGATGCCATTTTTTATCGGCTTATCGGTTACTTTAGATTTTTTAAAGCAATTAAAAACCTCTTTTTTAAACGTAATAAAAATTGTGAGATATTAAAAATGGATTAAATTAAAATTTACTCTGAGAAGTCACAGGGGAGCATAGTGGATTTCGTAGTGACGTTAAACAATCCATTTGTGATTTACGCAAAACGCGTTTACGGGCTTAAAAAATTGTTGGAAAACCCAGGACAATAATCATCTTAATTTAGCCTAAAAAGCAACAATGTCTTTTCAAAATTCATTTTTTATTTATACTTTTTCTTCTGTGAAAAAAAAATATTTTATCACTGGAATCCAAGTTTTACTTTCTACAAAGTAATATTATAAGTTTCTTTCTGAGATTTTTTTCAGAATGCGAATCCAAAACAAAATTATGAAATATTTTTCGTACTGTCTTCGACAAACTACTAGTTAAAAAAAAAAAATGACCTACTGTGTAAAATGGATTACTTTTTAAGATCAAAGTAGCCACCTATTTTTGTGCAAAATATTAACATTAAATAATAACATTAATCGGTGCAATATATATATATATATATATATATATATATATATATATATATATATATATATATATATATATATATATATATATATATATATATATATATATATATATATATATATATATATATATAACAATTTTGTTTATCTAATTGTACCTAATCTAGATTTTATAATTGGTGCTATTTTATAAATATATATAGTTTTATAATAGTGTTGTTGAAACCTAGATGAAGCCTATTGCTTTTACCCTTAATATCATAAAAACTAAAGTTGTTATGACTATTGAATAATTCGACTGTCGACGAAAATATTTTCTAAAATCAACTAAAATCGACTTATACATTTTTGAAGTCGATTTAGCCGAAGTATGTGAGTTATTTGTTTTTTTGAAATAAATAGTAATTAAAATAATATAGTAATTTATATTTGCTTTTTTATTTTTTAAATTAACATCGTTTAAATAATAATAAAGCAAAACAATATGAGAGAGAAGGGTTGCTTCGACAGCGGAACAATCTATTCCCAGATCCCGATGATTTATTATTATTATTATTATTTTTTAATTTATTTAGGTGCCCCAAGAAGACATAACGGTCTTGTCACAGAGCACCGCGGAAGTGCATTTAACCAGGAAGTTCACACCTCCTTCCTTACCGCGACGCGAAAATATGTCAAAGGCTCGTTTCGAACCTCGATCTCCTGCTTATAAAGCAAGCACTCTAACCACTACGCCACGGCCGCACATATTTAGAGGCCGTCTTAAATACTTGCTATATATCAAATAGTCTTTACAATTATGCTTACAATGTGATTGTATAGATGATATTTAGATTTTGGAGCATCATAATTTAGATTTGCTTCAGGGTTCTGAGCCAGATTGAAGCAGCCCTCTATTTATGAAAATCATAAGCACCGAGTAAACAAAAGAAAAAAATAATTATTGAAATACATAATCGAAAGTATAATTAGGTATAAATAATGCTAACGTGCTTTGAATTAGATAAAACTTTAAGAGAGTAAACAAAAACTAATTAATAGTTATAATGCATACTATTGTTATTAAATGAACAAAATCAAAAAATTGAAAAGTTGAATTGAATAAAAAGAAATAAAGGTTTTAAGATTTTTACTCAAATAAATCGACTTTTAGTCGATTTGTAAAAAGTCCATAGTCGATTAAATGGACTATTTGATTTTTCAAAGTCGACTAATTTCGACTTTTAGTCGATTTAGTCAAAGTCGATAACAACACCAATAAAAACACCGATGATGCAGCCGAATCATCCTCGGATTAAAAGCTGGTAATAAAATTCGCGGATAAAAACCTAAAAAAAGTTACTAAAAAAAGCAAAAATTCCAACTAGGTTTTCCTTATCTATTAATTTAATAACTAAGTTTAATAACTAACTTTTTATTTCAAATTTTATTTTTTGAATAAACTTTAAGTTTTTTATTTCCAGTTTCAAGTTTCGTCTCTCTTGTAATGGTTTGTGTCTACATTTCTTGTTCCCATTTTGAAAATGAAAATATCACTGCATGAAATATTGTCTTCTTTATAATATCAATAATCCTCCAGCTTCTTCAAATGTAGATTTTTATCGCAGTTTGACGTATTTGACCAAATCGTAACAAAAATGACTAATTTTTTATAGTTGAATTTATGAATGAAAAAAAGTTATTTTATTTTTGTAAGCATTATATTATTAAAACAATTACTATTAGAGTAAAAAGAAAGAGAAAGAAAACACTTTCATAAAATTTACTGCTTCAAAAGTTATAACTTATTATTACTATTGACTTTTTTAATATAAAAAAAAAAAAATTCATTCTATTCTAGTTAAAATATTATTAAAACAGATACTATTCAAGAAAAGAAAATGAAATAATGTCAAAAAATTTATGACTTAGACTCAATTCAAAGAATTGTTGTACTTCCCTTTTGACTGTGCGCCTTATGATTGTCTGTTAGCCTTTTAAAAATATTTTTGAAAGCATTTTTTTGTAATAAAAATTTATAATTTATTATAAATAGGAGACTAAAAATATTGTTATGTTTTAATCTCATTTTTTAATCCGCCGCGATTTTTTTTATTAATTAAAACATTTGTGTTATCATTCTATCCAGAATATCGCTACTGTAAACAAAATGGCGGTAAAAAAAAAAACACGAAGAGTATCTTATGCATTTTTGAAGACTTTTATCTTCTACTTGATTATGTTATATTTTAAAATTAATTATTTATTTTAAAAAATGTGATTACCATTATAAAAGACTATTAAGAACATGTTAATAATTTATTCTTAGTATTATACTCGTATGCAAATGTTTTTATCATTAAATTAAGGTAAACGTCCAAGTTCGTTTAACTGATTTCTATATTATAGATTCCTAATAATCTATAGAACAAATAATTTTTTAAAGCCCTTTTTTTAAAAAATTTATTAGTGCTTATTAAAATGATTTTACGTAACACAAACAAGATGAAATAAAATTTTGATCATTGTAATATTTTTAAGAAGTTATTTTAGGACTGTTTTTAAATATGTATATATTGTAATATTATGTAAGAGTATTTGTATTGTATTGAAATGACTTCTTATGGTATAAAAAAGTAAATATCTCTGTAATTTAAAATTTTGATTTAAGCTATAAATCAATTATCAATTTAAATTAACAAATAGTTGTTATGCATAAATAGTAAACTAATTGTTGCAAGTTTTTTGACTATGCTTTAATAACTCAAGTTTATTGACATTTTTTCTGTTTAAAAAAAAATATTAAAATGAGTATGATAATGCAATATATTTTAAATAATTTTTCATCATATCAGGTCAGCTATAGTTTTTTTGAGCAATGAGAGGTCCTAAATCGATCACTAGACATTATGATGTTAACACTATTTGTATAAACACAACGTTATATTTAAAATTCAGTTGTAGGAAAAGCATTAAACATTTGAGATAATGCATTATAACAACCTCAATATATTTTCTAAAAATATAAAGTACTGCAAATACAAAAAATCAAATATGGATGGGTTCATTCTTACATAGCATAACTAAAATAAGGACAGTAACCATTACAATGGAGATAATAAAAATATGTTTGTATTTAAAATAAAATAAACAAATATTACAAAAAAATGCAAAAAAAAATTGAAAAAATCTCAAACAAAAAAATTTATTTTAGTTTAATAAATTTTTTACCAATTATCTTTAATAAGAAGTTTATTAAAATCAAATGTTTGTAAAGCAATCAAGTAAATACAATCACTTTTGAAAATATCTAAGGCTAAACTTTTAAAATATATCACATGCAATTGCAAAATTGCAAAGGTATAGTTGTTTAAACAGATAAAATATTTAAAAACTATAAAAAGGTTACATATTTACATACATACATACATACATACATACATACATACATACATACATACATACATACATACATACATACATACATACATACATACATACATACATACATACATACATACATACATGCATGCATGCATGCATGCATGCATACACATACATACAGGCTGTATATAAATTACCACTGAATCTCAAACAAAAAAATTTATTTTAGTTTAATAAATTTTTTACCAATTATCTTTAATAAGAAGTTTATTAAAATCAAATGTTTGTAAAGCAATCAAGTAAATACAATCACTTTTAAAAATATCTAAGGCTAAACTTTTAAAATATACCACATGCAATTGCAAAATTGCAAAGGTATAGTTGTTTAAACAGATAAAATATTTAAAAACTATAAAAAGGTTACATATTTACATACATACATACATACATACATACATACATACATACATACATACATACATACATACATACATACATACATACATACATACATGCATGCATGCATGCATGCATGCATGCATACACATACATACAGGCTGTATATAAATTACCACTGTCCTCATATATTTTGTTCACTTTAATTTTTTAAATGCTGACTTTATTCCAGACACTTTTTCAAACAAAGAAGTAAAAGGCAAATAGTTCAAAATTTTTAAATGTGATAAATCTATGTTATTTTCATATTTTTCTAAAATTAATGAGTTTGCAATCATGATTATTTATCTAAAGAATATATTGTAGATATTTATGTTATATTTAGATTTCTATAGCATATTTTGTATTATAGATATTTAATTACCTGTTACAAAAATGTTCTGGAAGTTTCACATAGATTCTTCAGCAATTGACACTTTATTAACAAAGCAGGTATATATTAAATTATTTATTTTGTATCAATATAGCAATATAATATGTTTACAAATATTAAAATGTTAAAAAAAAAAAGAGAAAAAAAACTTAAAATAATTATTTACATTTTAATTAAGATGTTAATTTAGTAATGCATTAGTGATAAGTTTGATAATTTTTTAGTGAAAATATTTTCAATCTATTTGTTAATGGATCTTGGTTAAATTAAAATATTTCATAATTTTATAATTCTTAAACTGTGTATTATTACAAGACTAATTTTGCTGTCATATATAAGAAAGCATTTAAATAATTTTATCTAGTGTTAAATTTTGTCAAGAACAATTATATTTAAAGAATTTTTTTTTATCACTTTTTAATTTTATTTTTTTTGTTTTTTGAGATTTTTATAGTTTCTAGTTTTTATAATATACTTCCTGACATTATTCTTGTTTACATATCAGGACTGAGTATTTTTACAAAAATAACAAAACTTACAAGAAAATAAAAAGATTTAAAGAAAAATAAAATAAATTGACTAAGTGCAGTTGAAAGAAAAAATGTTCTTAGTTAAATACAGAAATTATTATATATTTTAATATTAATATTATAATAATATATTAAATTATTTTTATTAAAATAATACTAAAATGAGGACTTCAATCATTTATGAAAAAAAGGATTTCCACCACCAGTAAAATAAAAGTAATTTAAACAAGTGAAACAAAAAACCTAATAGATATATATGTCATGTATAAATTTGTCAGCAAAGCAAATTAATTGATAAATCAGAAGAATTACTGGTTTCTATTAATATGCAATAATTATTAGATAATAATTTTAACAAAGATAAATTTATTATATATTCGAATATATTTTAAGTAGCAAAGTTATTAATATGAAATTATTAATAAAAGTTAATTTAATGCAATGTTTTAAAAACTAAGATTAATCAGGCATTATTGTTTTAAAAAAAGGATTAAAGGAAAAATTCGCTTTAAAATCTTTTTGCTTTTAAACTTTTTGCTTTAATGACCGGCTAGCAGTAGCAGGTTTAAAAGTTTTGGCTGTCTTTTTTAGATTGACATGTGCACATATTATGTTAAAATAAAATAAAAACATAAGTTTAAAGTTATTTGTTCTATTGAAAAAAAATCATCACAATATATGCAAAAAATCTGTTTAGTTATTGTTTTTCTTGCCATTAATTTCTTTGTAAATAGTTTTGTTATTATTTTTTTTTTACATTGCAATTGGAATTTATAGAGTGAAAGAAGAATCTCTTATGAAAAGCAATTGATTGCTTCCTTAAAAAGGTTGATTCGTGTGGCAGCAATTGCAGATTTTAGGTACCGAATATTTTCAGGCATGTGATAAGTTGAATTCCAGCATCTTTTTTGGGCCCTGGTCTGTCAAAATTATTTATTTGAATCTCTTGTCGCTTGTAAAGTCTAGGAAAAAAAAAAATAGTTTGAATCAAGTTTTTCATCAAAATCAAGTTTTTAAATCAAGCTTATAACACCCTTAACTAAAAAAAAAATTTTTTAATCACAGTTGTTTTCAATGATTCAGAAGCCTAGTAAATTTGTAATGCACTCTGCTTCATTGAAAGCTGCTGTCGTGTTTGCTGTATTATTTCTTTAGCTGCATTATTTAATGTGATCTTGTGTTTTAGCTTCCATTTATGTGTAACATTTTCCAATATTTGAAAAATTTTTGAAGCAAAATGTCTTCCATTAAATGTACACTTATAAAGTGATCATTTCAACAATAGCTTTTTGTTCATTTAATCAAATTTTATGAAAAAAAGCTTTTCTTTTACCAGTTTTTTTTTTAATTTTTTTATCGAATTTTTGTTCAAAGCATTATACTCGCTATTTTTATTTTAGTTTAAATACAAGAAGAATTTTTTAAATTGTGCAGGCTAACTTAAAAGTGACCATCCTACCAGCACTTTTTTGTGCGTTGGCATTAAATATCAAAAGAAGACTGTGTATAGATACTAAAAATTTTTTTTTTAATTTGTTAAAGAAGCAGATTAAACTAACCAGATTATTTTATAATAATAAAATCACTTAGTGACGAACCCAGATTTTTTTGGGAGATACTGTTTTTTTATCGGCGACAGGAGGGGGAGCAATGTTCTTGTAGTAACCCCCTCCCCTATGCTGCGACTATGATTTATATATAATGTATACATACAGTGAGCAGGGAAAACACCGCTATAAACTGCTATAAACAACCAGTTTTATAAATATTGGTTCTAAATTTTTTCACCACCAGGAGTCTAGTCTACTTTTGAAAGAAAGTACAGTGGAGTAGAAAGTTATTTGCTCTGGCAGTTCGTTCCAAAATTTTACTGATCTATTATACAA